AACTCCTGACTTCAGGTGATCCACCCACGTTGGCCTCCCAAAGTGGTGCGATTACAGGCGTGAGCCACCACACCCGGCCTAATTTTTTTATTTTTTAAATTTTAATTAATTTATTATTATTATTATTATTATGAGATGGAGTCTAGTTCTGTCGCCCAGGCTGGAGTGCAGCGGCGCGATCTCGGCTCACGGCTCCGCCTCCCGGATTCACACCATTCTCCTGCCTCAGCCTCCGGAGTAGCTGGGATTACAGGCGTGAGCCACCACGCCCGGCCCTAATTTTTTTTTTTTTCTTTTTAAAGAAAACCCCACATATACACACATGCAAAAATAGGATACTAGAAAATAAAATGTAAAACCAAAATTTAATATTGTCTTTTTGGACATGGGATTGTGGGTGACTTTAAAATCCAGCTATTTCTACTCTTCCTATGATATATATTATGTGTAATCATATATGTAATACATGTTTAATACGTTATATATGACATATAAATAATATATATAATTTGTTGGCGGGAGGAACGAGGGAGAGCAGGTTTTCAAAATCCGAAAAGCCAAATGCCCCAGTGGGGAAAAAAGCCTCGATTTCCGTAATTCCCTGGTTAAAATCGAGGAACACCTTGGACTTCGAAGGCACTACCTGGGTCCCAGGGTGCACCATTCCTCTAATTCCCCGGTTGCAGCAACATCTGGGAAGTCCCGAGAATGGGAATCGATGCCTCTTTTTCCGAAGATAGTAAGCGTCAACAACAAAAAATAAAAAGTCCAACTCGGCCCCAAAGCAGCATCTGGCTGGCCTGCGAGATGCCCACTCAGCAGGCGAGTCCGCAGCTTAGGACTCAAGCCCGGGTTCGGAAGCTATCGCCGAGATTCGAAAGGCAGCGCTCGCAGCTGCAGTGACCCGACCCGCCCATAAGTCCTGGTGCTCTCAGCATCCCGGAAACCCACGCCTAGTGCTTCCGGGCCACGTCGGCCCAGGAAGGCGCACGCGCGGAGTACGGGGAGCTTCTCTCCGCGCTCTTAGGCTGCCTGTGGGGCCTGCGAGTGCTCGGGACCTGCTGGGGTCACAAGAGAAAGCCTAGCTGTCGATGACAGCCCCAGAGCGCCTGGGAGCCTTGCGATACCCGGGTGTCTGTAGGCAGCCAGCAGACACTTCCACGCTCATCTGGAATCTTCCCTCGCCCGGCTCTGCCCCTCACAGGGATGGCAAAGGACTTTACGACCTACATCCCTTCCCCGCTCTGATGGCTTCAGATGGGCAGATTGTGTTTAAGTGGAATGCTTGTGGTGCCCCTTTGCTGAGTTTTTATGGACTCAGTTTTCTCAAGTAGTTCTAATAATCGCTGGGGGTAGGGGGTGGGGCGGGAACGTAATTTCTGCGTCGGCCCTTTCCTTTAAACCTTGGCTGCATTGTCGCTTTTATGGAATTTCACCAATGGTCTGTTATTTTTTAGTTTCCCTGATACACATCTTTCTTAATAACAAAATAAAGAGCACTTTGGGAGGCGAAGGCGGACGGATTACCTGAGGTCCGGAGTTCAAGACCAGCCTGGCTAACATGGTGAAACCCCCATCTCTACTAAAAAACAAAAAATTAGCCGGGTGCAGTGGTGCGCGCCTGTAATCCCATCTACTTGGGAGGCTGAGGCAGAATTGCTTGAACCTGGGAGGCAGAGGTTGCGGTGAGCCGAGATCACGCCACTGCACTCACACTCCAGCCTGGGCTGCAGAGCGAGACTTCGTCTTCAAACAAAAACAAAATAAAACAAAGCATGTGGCCAATATTCCCTGCCAGTACTTGTTTTCTTTAGAAAATGAAACTTTTGAACATAATTTGACTTGAAACGGTTTCTTTTCAGGATTTATCATTTTTTATAGGTGATTCCAGTTCAAAATAGTTATTACATTAATATGTTGATAAGTCGTCATTGCTGAACAAATTCTTTTATGTGCAATCATACAGAACATTTTATATTTAAGGATGTTTATATATCAAGTATATAATCATTGGTAGAAACTGGGCAGGGCGCGGTGGCTCACGCCTGTAATTCCAGCACTTTGAGAGGCTGAGGCAGGTGGATCATCTGAGGTCAAGAGTTCAAGACCAGCATGGCCAACATAGTCAATCCCCGTCTCTACTAAAAATCCAAAAAGTAGCAAGCGTGGTAGCACGCACCTGTAATCTCGGCTACTTGGGAGAATGAGGTGGGAGAATCACTTGAACCCCAGGCGGCGGAGGTTGCAGTAAGCCAGGATTGCGCTACTGCACTCCAGCCCGGGTGACAGATCCAGACAGAGTTTGTCTCCAGAAAAAAAAAAAAAAAAAATAGAAATCTAAGAAAGCTATATTGCTTATACTCTTAACATTTCTAACATTTCACTACATTTATCCATTCTCAAAGGAACTTTCTCATCACAAGATTGGAAAATCTGTACTTCCCTGGCTTAGTATGACTTAATCATAAATGTCTAAATTTGACTGATGTCCCAGGAAAGAAAACTTGTAAAACTACTCTGTTGCATTCTATGTGTTTATGTGACATTTGAGATCTGCATATTATGCATAGCAATCTGGTTTTTAATATAATGTACAGAGACTGAAAAAGTTTTAGCGGTTTAACTGCCACTTTAGCTGCTTAAAGTAATATATGCATCATCTGCCCCCTTTGGTGGTAGGAATGTCAGATTCCATTCTCTGTAGGGTATTTCATACAAATCTGTTAGTCACTGGAGGAATCAGAAACTAGACACACAACTGGTCCATCTGGCTGTCTGGTGGCAGCAGAGGAACTGGGATTTCCAGGGCAACTGACAGGGCAATAGGAATGGGCAGCAGGGAGGAAATCTGGGAAGGTACATAAGGTTTAGGTCCAATACAAGCACTGTGCTTTAAATACCATTCTGACCCTCATTTATGTTTAATAACCTTTACATTTAAGATCTATCCACATTGCCTTCTTCCATTTTATTCCTTCAGATTTCTACATTGTATTACATAATATATGCTATCTTTCACTTACTGATTCACTTTGTGATAAGCATAGTTTGCCTCCAACTTTTTACTAACTTAATGCATTGTTTCTCACCCCAACTCCGTTCCTCAACCAAGTCTGACTGGTCAAGAAATACCCAACACCTGGAATCAACCTGCGTGCTAGCAAATTAATAAATAATAAATGCTTTTGGAATCAATTTATGGAGGTCCTCAAAAACTGGGTGGTGTGTTTAATGGTAGGTCAAAATTTGGCAAAAAGAAATATACAGAAAGCCATTTCCAGAACAAAAAAAATGTCAGAATACAATTTGCCAAACAAATCTTCTAAATTACTAATTTGATGAATTGTTGACGCTTGTTAAAAATGTTTAAGCCCTACTCGTGCCTCAGCCTTGTCTGAGGCAAGCCCAGGAACAGGGGCAGAGCGTGAGTATACAAAACGAGACGAACTGCAAACTCCACTTCAGAAAAACTTCACCTATTTATGTATCAAAAGGCTGGGGTAAATGCAAAACTAAAGCTCTGAAAAACTATTTGACAAACTAGCTTTCAACTGCTAGTAAAAAGCCTAGAAATTGGCTGGACGTGGTGGCTCATGCCTGTAATCCCAGCACATTGGGAGGCCGAGGCGGGCGATGACCTGAGGTCAGGAGTTCGAGACCAGCCTGGCCAACATGGTGAAACCCCGTCTCTACTAAAAACACAAAAATTAGCCAGGCATGGTGGCAGGCCCCTGTAATCTCAGCTACTCGGGAGGCCGAGGCAGGAGAATCGCTTGAACTTGGGAGGTGGAGGTTGCAGTGAGCCGAGATCGCACCGTTGCACTCCAGCCTGGGTGACAGAGCAAGACTCCGTCTATTAAAAAAAAAAAAAAAAAGCCTAGAAATTAAACAAAACTGGTTTTATTTCATAAGACATCTAGAGATAGGCAGCGGCTGGTGTTGGGTCAGCAGCTCAACAATGTGGCAACTGGCATCTTCGTGGTTCTCTTAGTCCTTCCTTCTGTCATAGTTCAAATAACTCCTCCAGCTCCAGCCATCACTTTGGCGTTTATAAAAGTAAGAGGGGGAGGAGGTGGCCTAGCTGCATATGTTTCTTTAATCAGGAAGCAAAAGTTTTCCCAGAATTCCCAAGGCCAAAGCTGTGTCCTGAGGCCACTGAGAGTTGTTAGTTGCAACAGAGGCTGAAAGGGGAGCAATTAGCTTTTCTGGGTTCTTTAGTGAAGGCAGGTAAGGCAGAAGGGGGTTGGGAATGGCTAGCAAATTGGAGCACCAACATCACCTTTGTGGATCATTTCTTTTTCAAAATGGGCAGCTGATATGTGAAGAAATATCTAACAATTTTAAGGTTGTAATTTAAAACTCAGTTCTGCTTTCAATCATGACATTTTTAACAGATGCATTTCAGCTATACTATTTTTTCTTGTCCCCCACTCCCCAACATTCTAGAATGGAACTAAAATAAAATTACTTACTTAATCTTTCAAGAAAAAGTGGGGAAAAAAAATCAAAAGGCCAACAGTGACAAGATACTTTCAACTACTCTTACTGTCATTGTCCTTCTACACCAAAAAACATCTGGAAAACATCCCCACATCCTTTGGCATTTAAGAACTGATAGAGCTGACCAAAGTCCATGTGGTTTCCCCTGGCTCCATTAACACTGAACACTTTTTCTTCAAAAATGGAAAATTTCCTTTGTCTTTCCATTTCATCATTTGTACCATCAAAAGGAACGTCTTCTCGATGGCGGATTAAAATTCTCTTCCAGTTTAATTTTCTGAGTCTGAAAAGAAATTTCCAAAGTAAACATTTTCAAAATGTATAGAGCACATAAAACAGAAGTTATAAAACAGACTTATCAATGCCTTTCCCTAGAAGTAGTCTACTTTTTAAAATTTTTATAACTTTTGTTTATTTAGTAGAGACAGGTCTTGCTATGTTGCTCATGTTGGTTTCAAACTCCTGGCTGCAATTGATATGCTGCCTCAGCCACCCACAGTGCTGGGATTACAGGTGTGAGTCATCACACCCCACCCAAGAAATCTACTTTTATCTCAGAGGGATTTATTTTAATCAAATATGATTCTGGTCATTATCCCATCCCCAAACTCATTTGTTACCCTTACTACGGCCTTGTATCAGTAGTTTAGAAATGTAGGAATTACTGAATCCCAAACTATTAATGGATCTTCTCAGAAATTCATTTAGGATATCAACAGAGAAATGAGAAGACTAGTGGCAATTCTAGTGCTTCTAGAAAGCCCCTTACTTCATAGGGCATACAGTTTGCAGCATCACTAAGATAAGGGAAGGATCAGATCCATGGAAGTGGATGGGATCATAGTGTCTTGGGCAGGAGCTCAATTCATTCAGCGTATATTTACAGAATGTCTCCTACATGCACTTGTCAGGTGAGGGGGAAAATGCTGACTACATGCGATTTCTGCCATATCCATCGAGATTGAATCCCCATAAAGATACAACCCCCGGGACACACTTATCTCCACATCTCTAATAGTCATGTGTTGCTTAACAATGGGGATACACTCTGAGAAATGTATCTTCAGGTTATTTTGTCATTGTACCACCACGATAGAGTGTACTTACACAAACCTAGATGGTACTTTTTTGTCTTTATATTTTTTCATATAGAAAAGCAAATGTCCCAGCACGATTACTGAATATCACTCTGATATTCAATAGTGGGAAGATCAAGTGCCATGTATCAGGTTTGTATATGTGCTCCATTATAATCCTATGGCACCACTGTTTTATGTGTGGTCCACTGTTGAGCAAAACATTACTAGGCAGCACATGGCTGTATCTTGTTTACTATTAAAATTTTTGACATGACTTCACATACATATGTGAAAGCAAACCTTGACCAGAATTCTTCACAGGCACTTTGTGGGCCTTCCACACAAACAACACCAGGTTTTCCAGGCATGCTAAACCCAGACAGGGAAAGCTCCTTTGCCCACTCTAGAATATTCTTTCTTTTGCATTTGTTGTAGATATGATGGCTGTAGATCCAGAGTCTCGTGAAGATGAGGTCAACTGACTGGACTGTGCTTCCTGTGGGGGGTGAAGATGAAGTATCTCTGCTGACATAGCCAGACGCGTGTTCTCTAACCCACTCCGTGGCATTCAGTATACAAACATCTCCATGACAATGTTTTTGCAGGAATGCAGTCAGATCTGTGTTCAGCTGAGTCTGCTGGGATCTACTCAATATTACTGATCTAACAGAAAAGATATAAGAAAACAATTGTCTGGGAACAGAAAACAAATTCAAGAGTTGCTTTTATTCTCAGATTAATTTGACCTCCAAAGTTGGCCAGAACTTCTGTAACGTACCTGACAGTAATTTCAGGCAGAACTGCTGGGTATTTAAAAGGAAGAATACAGGCCAGAGAAAACATCGCCTGATTAAAGAGAAGAAGAAAAAGTGCACTAACCAATGTTTTAAGTCTCAACATGTTTCAATCCTTCCAAAAGCAAAACTGAATTACCATTGCTTCCTCAGATACATCCAGGTTCATATTGATAGTAAAGTAAACTTTTGAAGATCGCCCCTCCATTGTCTTCTTTTCAATACAATCTTTCAGTTCTGCTACAGCCAGTTGGTCATTTACTATGAGCTCATTCTCACCAGGGAACATACTGGCTAGCAGGTCTAACTCAGCAAGCTGGGCCTCCGCCTGCTCTATCTCAATCATTTTTGGACATGTGTAAGTTTCTAAGGAGGTAAAGACAAGAGAGACAATTTACATATGCAATCCTAGAAGAAATGAATACATCAACAAGGGTACTTACTAAAATTGTATTTGATTTCTTCGTAAATTGTACAATTTAATTAGTCTCTTCCCCATTACTCTACTTTCAGATATAATATACTAAGTCCTTTGCTAAGACCAGCCTGGGCAACATACTGAGACCATCTATAAAAAAACAAACACAAAAAACTTTTAATAGTAAATAGACACCACATTCTTCTGTGTCTAGATAGTTGAGCGGACATTTTGAGCTACCATAAATGGGCAATTTCATCAAAGTAAACCAATTATGTAGTCAAAAAGCTGTATCAATAATGTAGCCAGAAGAGAGGATATGACTGGTTACACTGGAAACCTAGAATGTACAGAATAAGTCAGAGTTGATTATGTGAATGGTCAGTTTCTTCTTTTTAAGTAAATATTGTTTATTAGTTTTTTTTGAGACAAGGTCTAGTTCTGTCACCCCAGCTGGAGTGCAGCGGCATGATCCCTGCTCACTGCAACCTCAACCTCCCGCGCCCAAGCAATCCTCCCACCTCAGACTTCTGAGTAGCTAGGACCACAGGTATGCACTGCCACACCTGGCTTCACTTTTTATTTGTAGAAACAAGGTCTTGCTATGTTGCTCAGCCTGGTCTCAACCTCCTGGGCTCAAGCAATCCTCCTGTCTTGGCCTCCCCAAGTGCTAGCATTACAGGTATGAGCCAATGAGCCACTGTGCATGGCATTTATTAGTTTTTCTTTTTTTTTTTTTGAGACAGAGTCTCACTCTGTCGCCCAGGCTGGAGTTTAGTGGCACGATCTCGGCTCACTGCAAGCTCCGCCTCCCGGGTTCATGCCATTCTCCTGCCTCAGCCTCCGGAGTAGCTGGGACTACAGGTGCCCG